ACTGTTTAAAATTTTCCACCTTGTGGGGAAGAGTCTCTTGACTGTCCCATGGGCTTCTTCCCAGTCTCTTGTTAATTAACCTAATGTTTTTATTAGAAATAAGGCCCGTGAGGGGCAGCTGAGATAGCAAATTCGATAAGGCTTCCCGAACTATTTTTCAGTTTTGCAACAGTAGGGTTATATGAGGTGCCCATGTGAAAGGGACCCCCTGAACCACAGCATAGCAGGCATCTTGAGCAGGTGAGTATCCTGGTCATCATAAAGCCAGTCCCACATGGCTTGTCTATGAAGCGTATCAGCTGCTTCATCTGGGTTGTTCCATTTGGCATTTATAAGGGGTGACAGTCCCCCTTCTTCTCAGGGTAAATGGCTTTTATGCAGTCCACCACGCCAGCTGTTCCTTAGGAATAACCCCCTGTTTGGATCCCATATAGCCATGTGTGATTGTTCCACAGTGAACTGTGTGTGTGGTCTATCAACCCAAACATGCTTTTCCTTCTGCAGCATTCAAAACCAAAGACACAGCTCCTGAATCAGTCTCATAATCCATTTTAGTAAAGGTTCCTCGGGAAGCTGATGATACCCATCCACAGAATGAGACAATTTCTTCACACTATACCTTCTACTTTCAGTACTTTCCTGGTTTTGTCTTCCCTCCAAGTTGACAGCCTTCTTGGTGACCAGAGATCTTAAAGGTCCTTTCTGTTGTCCCTGCATAATTCTTACCTTAGGGGGCAACTTTGAGACTAGTGGCCAAAATGCAGACTCACTGAAATCTGAGGATGATGTGGTATCAAGGCTGGATCCTGCGTTCTCTTTTACTTCTACTCTAGCTGTTACAGGTAGCAGTAACCAAGAGATTGAATATTTTGCCTTTTCCTTATTAATTTGGATTTCCTTATGCATCCAGTGACCATCTTCAGATGCCATTGGTAAATTTTATCTTCAGTAACTGAGCGCAGCACAGCCACTGTTCCACACCACAAGTGACTATGTGGCCACCCAGGAATCAAAGGTTCTTCATCCCCCACCCTTCCATCTTTCCCTTCCCAAACCACATGTTTCCATGAGTCAGGGCCCTTCTAGCAAGTACCATCTCTGACACCAATTATTTAGGTTTTTGACCCAGTTCTAATATCACCAAGCAATTCTAGGACACCAGCTGGGTGTCCTGCAGTTCAGCTCACTTCTGACACTAGCTACCTGGAGATGTCAGATCTCACAGGTTGAGGACTCCGTCCTACAAGACTACTCCCTGCTTTCAGATGCCCGTCTCAAGTCCAGGTTATGACACCTCTGCTTCTGACCCACTAGCCGTAGATTGGTTCTAATAACCCCCTCCTCAGGAAACCCATTTACTCACTAGATTACTGGTTTATTATGAAAGAATATAACTAAGGAACAGCCAGATGGAAGAGCTGCATAGGGCACGGTATGGGGAAAGGGTACGGAGTTTCCATGCCCTCCAAGAGCACACCACTCTCCCCAAATTGCCACATGTTCACCAACCTGAAAGCTCTCCAAAACCCCTTCTTTTGGGTTTTTATGGAGGCCTCATTGCATAGGCATGGTTGATTAAATCATTGGCCACTGGTGATTGAGTCAACCTCTCTTCTCCCAACTGAAGCCATTCTCCCCCCCACCAGAGTTGAGGTGGGAGGGGGGAACAGAAAGTTCCAGCCCTCTAATCTTGTGGTTGGCTCCCCTGGCAATCAGCCCCCATCCTTAGGTTTCCTAAGGGCTTTCCAAAGACACCTCATTAACATAACAAAAGACGTTTATTGCTCTTTATTGCTTAGGAAATTCCAAGGGTTTTGAGAGCTGTGTGCTAGAAACTGGGGATGAAGATGAAATATGTATTCCTTATTATAAATCACAAATCACAAATACTATATTCTGACCAGGAAGCATTTGTCCCAGGAATGGCCAAATGGTTCAAACTATAGGAAACCAGTTTACGTAGTTCAATATGTGAACAGATTAAAGGAGAAAAAGGATTTCAGTAGAGTTGAAAAGTATTTGCTGGAATTAACAACCATCCTGATAACTCTTAGCTAATTAGGATTAGAAGGGTATGTGTGTACTAGAAAATCAAAGCAATCAGACCTAATGATAAAACATTAGAAACCTTGTAATTATAAGGATGCTTCTGTCACTGCCACTCTTTAACATTGCTCAAAATTAGAGGACAGCAAAAAAATTGCCCACAGCCTGTTTTGGTAATGAAGTGTTATTGGGACACACCTGTGCTCGTTTTTTAATATATTGGTTACATATTGTTTACAGCTGCTTCTGTATTAAGCAGCAGAATTGACTAGTTGCAGGAGAGACTGGCCCACAAGCCTACAATATTTACTATCTGGCCCTTTTCAGAAAAAGTTTGCTGACCAAACCTTTTTTTTTTTTTTTTTGGTGAAGAAGATTGGCCCTCAGCTAACATCTGTGCCAGTCTTCCTCTATTTTTTGTATGTGAGACACTGCCTCAGCATGGCATGATGAGCAGTGTGTAAGTCTGCGTCTGGGACCTGAACCCACGAACCCCAGGCCAAGGAAGCAGAGCACGTGACCTTAACCACTATACCACCAGGCTGGCCCCTGACCAGACGTTTTTGTGCTAGATGTCTGAGCACTGCAAAAGAACAATTTTTATTTTATTTTTAGGAATGCATATTGGAAAGAAATAGACATGCTCAAAGAACAAAGCATCAAAACTATACATTAATAAAACAAAAGTATATATACTAATAGCAAAATTTATGACATATTGCTAAGTAAAAATAAAACTGCCTCTGGTATGGTCCATATATACACATATGTATACACACACATATATATACTTTAAAATGTATCTAAATAGGGAAAAAAAGGCCTGGCAAGATATACAACAAATTGTTAATGTGGTTAACTCTGAAGAGTGGTATTCTGAGGGTGTCATTTGCTTTTTACTTTGCCTTTTTTTCTGTTGTGATTGTTTTATTTTCTTGTCATGAAGTTCAAAATTAAGAAGATGCAAAAGTGTATTGAGATGCCTTCTTTTTATTTCTGCTATTCAGCTCTCCTCCTTTGTTGCTTTTTATCCATCTTGAGGTGTTTAATTCTTTGCCTCTTTATTGTTGGAATTTTTTATTTAAAGGAATAGAAATTAGCCCTTTAGCGAATTGTAATCAGCATATATGTTAGTGAAAATGTGGACAAAAGTTCACACAATTTATGTTTGTTAAATAAAAATGACCCCTGCGTGTCCCCTCCTTCCCGTTAAAAACGCTGCTATTCTGGATTTTTGCTGATGATGTTGAGTACCTTGTTTCTCTAAAGGATGATCCTAGGCCTAGCAGCATAAGCATCACCTGGAAACTTGCTACAAATGCCGGCTCTCGGGCCCTATCCCGGAGCCACTGAATCACGATCTGCAGCTTTACAAGATCTTCAGGTGTTTCGTGTGTGTGTCACATTTGAGAAGCACAGCTCTACTGTGTCTCTGAGGACCTTAGATACATCTGTGCATCTGTATTGTGACCAAACTCAGTGGGGTGGTCTCGTGGTGAGTGTGGAGCTGAAAAGCACAGCCAAGGCGGAAGTAGGTGAGGTGAAGGTTTATGGTTTGCACAAGCAATGGAGGACACGGGGGATAGGTCTCAATGCACTGTCTCCCTGAGCTCAGTGCTGGTGGAAACTTTATACTCAAGAGAGCAGAAGACACCAGGTTTATGTGTAACGACTGTGTTCGTACAGGGCACGCGCATGGCAGGTACACATGCTTTTACATATGATGCATGATCTGAAAATGGCTGCTGGGACCCTCCCATAGGAGGAGACCTTAAGATGCTAATGAGTTTAAGGTAACTCTAGGACACTTGGTACTGGAATAACTTGCAGGGAACTTGCTGTAAACGTGTAAGTTTTCCTTGCAAGATAGCAACATTTGCAAAATGGGGACATCAATTTCTGCAAAATGGAACACAGTTTTTTCTTGTCTGAGAAACAGTTGACAGACCATGTTGTTGATCAGATCCTCAGTAAGCCTTTCTTTGCCTCGTGCCCTGGTCACAGTATCTGCTGTTTCTCGTCCTTGAAACATAGTGCAGTGTACGTTGTGAAAGAGAAGACTCAGAGCAGGGTCCCCGGTTGCTGGGCTGTTCGCAGCAACTTTACTTGGAAGCTCTTTTCTTAATAATGTACTTTTTCCCTTGGAACCTACTGTGGAGTTTCCAATTCAGTGGTCTTACGTGGGACATAGAAAACTGGTTTTGTTAAAACAGCATCTCAGGTGATTGTTAATACATAGTGCGTTTGGGAATCACTGTATGGATCCATTGTACACACACATATACTCCTCTGGACTGTACCTAACACCCTAAAACAGAGCACCCATGTCACTCCTGCATAGCAAGCAGTGAATTTGTTCTCTCATTTCTGTGTAGGTGAGTAAGTGATTTGACGGGAGCAGATACAGGTTGGGTCAGGTAGGATGTAACCGTGGTTCATGCTGTCCTTGACATTATTTGATATGTGTTAACTTATTCGCCTGGAAATGAAGTTTCCAGGATACTGTTCTACAAATTAATTGAACAGTTCTTTTCTGAATGGGTTGAAGCCGTAATATCCCTCTTTCTGGTAGGAATTTTATGATTTTAAAAAGAGCCGGTATTTCTCTTTTAGCACTAATCTTATTATTAGCCTGAAGTGACGCTGAATGTAGAAGCAGGTCTTACGCCCTCTGACACTGAGCTCTGGTAGATGGAGTCACTGGATTAAGACTTAGATTATATGTGGACAACAAAACAAGCTTGCTGTGGACATTTTGAACAAAGTAGACGTGTGCAGCATTGCTGTGACTTTCGTAGCTTTGTAACTTCATACAGTTGGCAGTATAACTGTTTCTCAAGGTTTGTCATAATCTATATTAAAAGTAAAATAGAGACTTTAAAGTGTCACTTATAGCCTGTTCCAATGATATTTTTTAATGTATGATAAATAATACCAATTTCATTTTTCCCTAGGCTCAAAGTCTGACTCCCCAGGACTACAATCTGAGGTGGTCAGGCCTTTTGGTGACAGTGGGCGAGGTCCTGGAAAAGAGTTTACTAAATGTCAGCCGGACTGATTGGCATGTGACTTTCACTGGCATGTCTCGTCGACAGATGATCCACAGTGCAGCGAAGGCACTAGCGGGCATGTATAAACAGCGCCTGCCGCCCAGGACCCTGTGAGAAAAGACTGAGCCCGGATGCTGACGCTCCTCACTTGGGGCTCGATAGTAAAGAAGAGATTGTACCTTCTTAAATGGGATAACCTCGGTGAATCCAGCAGTTTTGATGGTTTTCCTTTAGGCTGCAGGGGTTTTTTTTTTCTTAGAAAGACATGGTGTCATTCCAGTAGATGAAAATAAACACATCCTTTTTATGATGATAGAATTTCATATACTGTAGTTCTCAAAAAAAATTATATAAATATTTTTATAGGACAGTTTGATATACCAAATTTATAAGGTGCAAATTCATGTGCTAAGACATTTAACTTAATTATATGTACTTGATTGTTTTTTAAGACATAGTTAATTAAAGAACATGTGTACTGAATATTCTTTAAAAGCATTGTTTCTTTTAATTCATGATTAATCTTGTCACTGTCAGGCTTTGAAGCTTTCTGTGCACGTGATCTTAGGCCTGATGCTGAGTGGTGTGCTCAACAATCTACCTGAAGACACCCGCTTGGTGGGAGACGGCGTGCGTTTCTATGCATATTTTTAACATGGGCCAAAGTAACAGAATTGATCCTTTTCTTTTTGGTTGTCGTGTACACACAGTCTGAAAAATTCTACTTTTTTCTTTTGTTTAAATAAGTTTTGGCATTTCATAGATTTATACTATGAACATTAGGGTAATACATTTTATTCTTCATTGCTGTATGGCAACTAAGTGGCAAATCATTCAATTATATTTTAAATCAGAAGCATTTGTGTTATTTTCATATAATACTGTGCGCTGCTTCCAAGAAGACTTGACAACAGCCGTTGTTTGTGCTTCCACTCTATTTTCCTAACTGTAATAGAGAAATCTGAGAGGGAATTACTTTGTTGTTGATGAAATGGTATGTTTCTTATTTTAGTTAAGGTTACTTCTCATTTAGTTTGCCTTAAACACTGCTTTTCTAAGTTTGTGCCATTCTGCCTTTACTTTTTATGAAAGTTTTCAAAGAAACTGTTTTGTATTCAATCTGGTTTGTTTAGTCCATTATGTTTGTGTCTAGTGTAAAAGCTTTTTTTCTCCCCCAATAATATATATTTTACCACTTTTCAATTTATACAAATCAAAATTAAATAGCTTGTCTTATACTTTTCAACTCTATGCATTCAAATAACTTTTTGACAATAATTTCTTATATAAATGTAATTTAATTTTTATTTACTCTTTTATACAGTTCTCTAGATGTGAAAGAATTAGCACAGTCTTATAAAGGGTGTTGAGCCTCTTATCCTGCCTGTCACCATTACATGTAATGTTTGCTTTGTATTAACATTACTTCAAATACTTATTTGATTTTTGCTATTTTTTTTCCTGAGTCTGAGAAAAATAAGTATTAATTTTGCAACTATGGTATATGTTAATTTCCAAGCACTGTGTAATGACTGTTCAGTGAAATTCACACTTCTGTGTCATTAAAAGTAATGAGAGAGAGAAAAGAGATGTAACCAGTTGCAATGGCATAATAGGGACAGAATACTTTTTCCCCCTCTACTGGTATTTATTAACACTGCATCTATATTTTCTCCATTTTTCATGAATAAGAAAAAGAAGGCTTTCCCCTCCATTTGCTTCTATCTTTTATTTTTCAAAAGCTACCCTTTTGTAACAGTATTTTTATCATGACATATTTTATTTGCCTGATGACAAATCATGATTAAAGATGAAGGGAAGTATGTCCTACTTAAAATCTTTCTGCTACTTTCCCTCCTATTACAGGGAAATTTTACAGATCCTAAAAATGTCTGAGTTTTAATTTTCTTTTCATCTCACTAAGTCTTGAAGATCTTACTCGATGCTTTTGAGGGTTGTTTTCATAGAACCACAGACACTGACATCGCATCCCACTACACTTTCCCCAGAATCCTCAGATGGCGGTGGCAGTTACCCTGTGGCTGGGTTGAAGGCAGATAATTTCCCTGCACCTGGTGCTTGGATAAGCCTTCTGTTCCCTGGAACAGTGTGAGCGGGTGAGGAGGATTAGGAAAGGGCAGATGGAAAAGATAAACACGTCATCTGGTTCTGGCCGCTCTGATTCTTGTTTTGGCCCAGAGTTATCTTTGAAAGGCATCAGAGCATGACTGACTCCACATGCTCAGCCTTACCAACCCCTTGTGTATTTTTTCATCCTTAGATTTCCATTTTGTTCAAAGGGCAAGAAAAGGAACTCATTATCTCTCACACACCACAGCAGCTTAGCCAGGCGGTCTTTTAATGTTGGTATTTTGGCATAAGATATGCTGATCCTCATTCTATGGCCATAGTGCCCTTGTCATCCTAAGCTACCCCTTGTTCTTCTGTCTCCCTGTTCATTTCCTTAGAACGCCCACGTTAGCATTCTTTAGGGAGAGTTGGACTGGGAGCTATTTGCTTTCTTCTCCCTCAAGCTTTTTAGGAAAACCTGTCTTTAACACAGTTCTTTACCACTGTTGTTTTGGTCATGTTTGTGATATATTTTTTTTTCCTCTAAAGTGCTCCAGGAACTATTTATTGAATTTTATAAGCTTGTACACTTTTTTGTTTTGAGCAAGATTAGCCCTGAACTAACAGCTGCTGCCAGTTCTCCTCTTTTTGCTGAGGAAGACTGGCCCTTAGCTACCATTCGTGCCCATCTTTGTCTACTGTGGGACGCCTGCCACAGCATAGCTTGACAAGCGGTGCAGAAGTCTGCACCCAGGATCCGAACCGGCGAACCCCAGGCCGCCAAAGCAGAACGAGTGAACTACTGCACCACCGGGCCAGCCCCAAGCTTGTATACCTTTTAAATTAAATAGTGTGAAAAAACATGAAAAATGCAGGAAGAGTAATTTAATGTCAACCTCAGTTGATAAGAAGGTACTTAGATTATTCAGTTCAGGATCCCCCATTCTTAAGTTTGTCAGGTAAGCCTGGACCTAGAGCTGTGCCGCAGACTTCTGGAGCTGGAAAGCTTTAGACAGTGCTAGTGGTTTTCTCTTCTGAGTCTTTTATTAATTCTTCCCCCTTCTTTGTTCCTCTTTCAAGGATTAATGAGGTAGAAAATTGAGATGAATGAATATACACAAAATGGTAGTATGATAGGATAAGTAGAGTACAGATGAAAACAATATGTACATCTATTAAAAGTTATGCAAATTAGTGATATACTCAGGGTCAACTAAATTACTTTAATATGTTATTGAATTTACTTTCTTTTTGGCTAGAAAAAATTCTAAACTGGAGTTGTTCTTTGAAGCCAAACTGATAAATATTCTATGTTCTAAAAGATGTTGGGTTATGCATAAATTAAGAAACTTGGATTTTTACTCTCGTATATGGTTTTCATTTTTAAGATACTGTGCAGGATGATGTATTGGATAAAACCAATTTTGTAAGTATGTAAATATGTCATAAATAAATAATACCTCAACTTATTTCTCCAAGGTATATAGTGATTTTTTTTAAATGTTGATTCATATTAATAGATTAAAAGGATTCATATTCCTTTGTTGTCTAAACTGACTACTAGTTGTCAAGAATTCGTAGGGAACAGCACCTTTAAACATCATCTTTCAAGTGAAACTATAACATTCAAATATACCAGAATTGCTGACTTCAAGGTTAAAGAAGTCAGAATATTTAGGGGAGAGGAGGCACTGGAAACAGAGGTGACAGACAAGAAGTGTTGAGGCCTGTGTTCATGAGGAGACCTCTGGAGTGCTGAGTTTAATTCACCCATGACCTCCACAAATGTCATCTTTAGAAATAAATAAATAGGGGCCAGCCCAGTGGTGCAGTGGTTAAGTTCACACATTCTGCTTCCGCAGCCCGGGGATCGCCGGTTCGGATCCCAGGTGCAGACATGGAACCACTTGGCATGCCATGCTGTGGTAGGCGTCCCACATATAAAGCAGAGGGAGATGGGCACGGATGTTAGCTTAGGGTCAGTCTTCCTCAAAAGATAAATAAATAAAGATTTGTTACCATATTTGCTATTCTGAGCCTGTGATCCCAGGGTGAGAGATTTTTGTTTTGATTTGGTAGGGGAAGAGAGAGTTGCCAAAAGACAACAGAGTATTGATTTAGCGTTTTTGTTTGTTTGCCAAGAGACAACAATATAGGCATACTTCATTTTATTGCAAGACCCTCCACCAGCAAAAAGATACAACTTACTGAAGGCTTAGATGATTCTTGGCATATTTTAGCAGTAAAATATTTTTTTAATTAAGGTATGTACATTGTTATTTTAGACATAATGCTATTGCACGCTTAATAGACTACAGTATAGTGTAAACATAACTTTTATATGCCCTGAAAAACCAAAAAACTTGTGTGACTTGCTTTATTGCGATATTTGCTGTATTGTAGTGGTCTGGAACCAAACCCACAATGTCTCCAAGGTATGCCTGTATTGTTTTCAGTAGACTAGAAGAACACCTATTCAGGTTCCAGGAAAGGACCAGTTAAATTTATTTTTTTTTTAATTTTATTTTCTTGATATTTCACAACTCTTATAGTGTATAAGCTTTCATTTTGTTTTGAAGATTAGCCCTGAGCCAACATCTGCCACCAATCATCGTCTTTTTGCTGAGGAAGATTGGCCCTGAGCTAACATCCGGGCCCATCTTCCTCTACTTTATATGTGGGACGCCTACCACAACATGGCTTGGTAAGCAGTGCATAGGTCTGTGCCCAGGATCTTAACCAGCAAACCCTAGGCCTCTGAAGCAGAGTGTGTGAACTCAAATGTTACACCACAGGGCTGGCCCATACTTTTTTCTTTTTTTTTGGTGAAGAAGATTGGCCCTGTGCTAACATCTGTTGCAAGTCTTCCTCTCTTTTTGCTTGAGGAAAATTGTCACTGAGCTAACATCTATGCCAATTTTCCTCTATTTCCTATGTGGGATGCCACCACAGCATGGCTTGGTGAGCAATGTGTAGGTCCGTGCCTGGGATCCAAACTCACGTACTCTGGGCCACTAAAGTGGAGCATGCAAACTTAACCACTACAGCTCCGGTTCAGCCTCTAAATTTATACTTTGTTTTAGAATTAGTTGGAGGAGAAAAAAAATATTGGCCCATATTGAGGAGATCCAAAAATTTACAGAGGAAGGAAATCTTTGAAATTATCCTTAAAGTGAACTCATTTTAAGAATTTAAAGCAGTAATAAAGGAAAAAGGAAGTAACATTTATGTGATAAGTACCCGTTGTTGGTTAAGCACTGCAGTAGAAACTTATTTTTATAGACGAGGTAACAAACAGATTAAGCTAGTTACTCAGTATCATCACAAACAAATAAGTTGCAGAGATGGAAGTCAAACGGAGTGTGTGACTTGCTAACCCAATCTCTTCCACAACATCCTGAATATTTGCTTCAGAAAGTTAGGGGTACACAATTAATCCTATGAATATTCTTGAATTCAACTAATGGCATGAGGACTTTGGGCCTTAGCATAATGTTACAATATTGTGTTTAAGGAAAACTATTTTTACTCCATGTTTTTCATTTTAGTTTGAAACGGCAGTTTTGATCTTTGCTTCTGGTATGAAAATATATTTGTGATACTTGAATATTTGACTGTGAAATATGAGAAACCATGAACTTAATTTGAGTATCATTTTTAGGATAAAAGCCAGAAATGTTCTTGTTCAGCTAGTTTTCAAACAAGGTACTGACCACATATCTTTTAAAATATTTTAAAAATAATTTGTGGCTGCTCCCAGGACCACACTTTGAGAACCACTGCTTAAACAAGAATCCCAACTTGTTCTGCATATCCTAAGATATTTCAGAGAGAGTGACATCACCAGATAGCAACATAGGTCATTTCCTGACTTCACTCCACCTCACAAAAAGAACAACTAACTAGTCATGGACAAGACATCACTGGAGAGAATCCTAGAACATGGGTGAGGCTGAAGCACCCCCTTACACCACAGAGACCCAGACCGCTTTAGAAGGGTAAGAGGAGAGCCTACACACCCACCTCATGGCCCCTCCCCCAGGCTAGTGCATCACCTCAGTTCTTCCCTGAGAGTATGTTTCCTCCAGTGGGAAAAGAGAGCCCAGGATGGACATCCAGCTCCTCTAGGGTTGTGTGTCACTTCCTGAGAGCCCACACTCTGGTCTGGCCCCATGGAGATTAAGGGAGAATCTGATTGTGATGGAAAGAAGGGGGTGGGCTTGCCACAACTGGCACTCAGATTTTAGCAGATTGAGTTCCTACCTGCAGCACCAAGTAGCAGTCCCAACCAGGGGCTTAGCTCATGTGCAGAATCAAGTTGGTGAAGCAGTCTGACCAGGGAGCTCAGCAGGGTGCAAGTCTTTCTGAGTCAAGTCCTCCAAGCAAGAGCCTCACCAGCCCTGGAGCCTGATCTTACCCCACCCAGGCAGGAGAGCTGAGTCATAGCACCGCCAAGTGCTGAGTGTAACTCCCAGCACCGTCTGACGAGAAAGGCACCTAAAAACACCTGGAAGCTGCATAGCCTGGCAACACTCAGCATACAGCAAGGAGAGCTGATCCCCTGGAAGGCCAAGATTGGGTGTGAGATCTCTGCTCCTCCCAAGCAGAGGAGCTAATTCATAGCCCAGCTCACTGCTAGCTGTAGCTCCCAGCATGTCCTGAGCAGAAAGTCTGATCGGGAAAACCTGGGAGGCTGTTTGGTGTTGGCCATCCCATCAAGGAAACTGAGTCATAGCCCCATCCACTGCTGAGTGAAGCTCCTAGCCCAACCCAAGAGGAAATCCTTGCAGAACACCTGGACAGCTACATAGCCAGCAATGCTCAAGCAGAGAGGCTGGCAGGTAGAGCTGATAGTCTGCAGAGCAAAGCCAATGGCCCTGTTCAGTAGGGAGCATGAGGCATGGGTTAGCTTGAGTCAAGACCTATACAAGCAAAGACTGACAGCCTTGGAGCTGTTTCTCCTGCTGTGCCTAGAGAGGAAACGAATTCATAGCCCTGCTGGTTGCTGAACACAGCCTTCAGCACTCCCGACCAGGGAGCTTAACCAGAGCACACGGGAAGCTGTATAGTCCACCCAACAGCCCTCCTTATAGTGGCACGTGAACAGAGAGCACAGCCCATGGCTTTCCCCATCTGCAGGGCCAAACTGGTAGCCTTGTCTGGCCAGCGAATTCAGTGCATAATCTTGTCTGATTCAGACCCCTAAGCAATAAGGCATGCAGGGAAGCTAATTTATAGCCTCACCTACTGCTGAATATAGTACCCAGTCCTAACCATCTAGTAAGCCTGACCAGACAACAGGCAACCACGGCCCCCATCCTATGACTTGGGCAGGGAACCAAGCCAGCAGTTCTCTCCAACTGTTCTCAGTGGAAACACTCCCTCACACTCAGATCTCCAGCAGTGGCTTCACCCAAAAATAGACCTTGATAGCCCCATCTGCCTAAGGATGTTACCAGCAGACTCATCCAGAAACCAAAACCAAGCTGAGTGGTGAAGAACTGTCTGCCAAAGTGAACCCGTAAAGTCTGAAAGAGGAGACCACTTGCTCAAATGTGCAGATACCGATGTAAGGAGTCAAGCGTCATAAATACCACCAAAGGAAACTAACGGAACTCCAATAACTGACCCTAAAGAAGTGGAATTCTCCAAACTGTCAAACAAAAAATTCACACTAATCCTCTTAAAGAAGGTTAGTGAGCTGCAAGAAAACACAGACAACTAAATGAAAATAGGAATACAGTGCATGAGCAAACAAAGAAGTTCAGCAAAGAAATAGAAACCATCAAAAAAAGCAAACAGAAACCCCAGAGCTGAAAAAGACAATGACTGAACTGAAGAATTCAATAAGGAGCTTCAAAAGTAGACTCAACCAAGCAAAGGAAAGAATAAATGACCTAGAAGACAGGACATTTGAAATTATGAAGTCAGAACAGCAAAAAGAAAAAAGAATAAAAAAGAGTGAAGAAAGCCTACAGGACTTAACAGGACACCATCAAAAGAAACAATGTTCACTACAGGAGTTCCAGAAGGAGGAGAGAAAGGGAAAGTATATTTAAAGCAATAATGGCTAAAAACGTCCCAATCCTGGGAAAGAAATGGACATCCAAATCCATGAGGCCCAAAAGACCCCAAGTAGGTTGAATTTGAACAGGCCTATGCCAAAATACATTATAATTAGTCAATAGTCGAGGACAAACAAGGGACTTTGAAAGCAGCAAGAGAAAAGACAGAAGTTACATACAAGGGAAGCCTCATAAGACTACGGGCACATTTCTCAACAGAAACATTTTAGGCCAGGGGAGAATGGGGTGATATATTCAAAATATTGAAAGGAAAAAGTGTCAACCAAAAATTCTATACCTGGCAAAGCTGTCCTTCAGAAATAAAGGAGAGGTAAAGACTTTCCTGAGCAAGCAACAGCTGGAGTTCATCACCACTAGACCTGCCTGACAAGAAATGCTAAAAG